TTTCTAAACAAGGTAATTTGATCAGGAAGTAGTTTAGACTTCACAAGGTTTATTGAATCAGAAATTCTAGAAAAAGTGTTAACTCTTCTAACTTTTAAGTCCTGATAAACAACATCTTTGCTGACCAATCTTGTGTAGGTCTGGAAACAAGACAAATAAAAAAAGAATGAGAAACGACACCTAGAAAGTAATAAAAATAAGTCACTGTGAATATAAATACTTACTGGTTTCGCCCTATGAGTCAATGATAGACGACTAGATGAGCGTCGAGACGGTGTTTGTGCAGGAGATATGAAGTCACTGTCAGACATCTAAAAATAAAAAACAGATTAAAAGTGAAAAACAATACAGAAAATGTAGGCTACTCAGATTAGATAGAAAGTATTTAACAAAATAATAGAATACATACATTAAACTAGTCATTTTAGGATAATTAGTTTCATAAAGTATTCATAATCCAAGCATTCGAGAATCTGTAGGAAGGCAACTCAGTAATACCGAGATAAAAGGCTCTCAAAAAGTTCAATGTTTGCAAAGTCAAACTTGAGCATACGATTCCACATGCGATTATATGTATATGTGCGATTATATGTATATCTATACATGCATACAAAATTCATAAAACAGCTACGAATTTTAGGTAAATACCTTCAAAAAATAAGATTCTGACTTGAGAAAGATGAAATCTGAAATCGCGATGGGAGAGGAGACTTCAACGAACACAAAAAGCTACTAAAAGAATGAATTGCAGAATGTTCATTGTTGTGTATAGTTCATCGTGAAGAGAAGCGTTTAATCGAGGAAGATAGAACAGAACGGCATTAGGAAAAAATAACGCGCGGGACTGGGCCTCTAGAACGGCATTGGGCCCCATTTTTTAAACTAAGTCACTTTTTTGAGAAATTTAAAAACACTCAAATTTTTGTCTTTAGAAACATGGGGTGTAATATTGGGGCCATTATTTCTATTATTATTATTATTGTTATTATTGTTATTATTATTATTATTATGATTTTTATTATGATTATTATTATTATTATCATTATTATTATCATTATTATTATCATTATTATCATCATTATTATCATCATTATTATCATCATTATTATCATTATTGTTATCATCATTATTATCATCATTATTATCATCATTATTATCATCATTATTATCATCATTATTATCATTATCATTATCATTATCATTATCATTATCATTATCATTATCATTATCATTATCATTATCATTATCATTATCATTATCATTATCATTATCATTATCATTATGATTATGATCATCATCATCATCATCGTCATCGTCGTCATCATCATCATCATCATCGTCATTATTATTATTATTATTATTATTATTATTATTATTATTATTATTATTATTATTATTATTATTATTTATATTATTATTATTATTATTATTATTAATATTATTATTATTATCATTATTATGATTATTCTTATTATCATCATTATCATTATCATCATCATCATCATCATCGTTATCATTATCGTCATTATTATTATTATTATTATTATTATTATTCATGTATAACACATGTTAAAGAGATTAATACCTCTGCCTTCTCAGACACTTCAACAGCCTTATGATCTTGCTCAACTTTATTCCCGAAATACTAAAAAGTGATAAAATAAAAAAGTAAACACAGTGTTATTTACACCAACTTTTTAGTAAATACATAAAATATCTTAGTAAAATAAAAAAGTACGTGTTGGTTGTCTTGACAATCGTTGACTCCACTTTCCCTAGCCACTCAGAAAAATCTTCTTTAAAAGAATTAAACTCTTGTTTGATAGAGTCAACTCTTTTCTCAGAATTCGCTTCAAGATATTGAAATTTTTTGTCTATATATACTGTAATACGTTCAAATAGTGAATCCATTAAAGCTTTGTCTAGGCAAGGAGGCGGTGCAGTGAATTGGGGTAAGCGGACAATCATATCTTCTACATGTTTCATCTTACTTATCACTTTGAGATAGGAGTAGTTTACCTTTTCTTGAAAGCAAATTTTTCAGCAAAGTCCGGTACACACTCCAACAACAAGATCTAAAAAGATATATTCAAACAATAATTAATTCATCAAATACTAAAACTAATTTTTTAAATTTAGTAGTCATAAATTAAATAAAAGTATCTCACCGATATCGGAGTTACGAAACCCGTATAACATAATGTTGGAGTCACCTCTTAATGCATAATCTCATCCATCTTCTTTTTCAAATTCTTCTTCAACTGCTTAAGAGACTCCATAAATGCCCATGTACCCCATGGAAATTCTTGATAGTAGCTACCGACTTGTGCAATGATCCAATCAGGAATGAGATACTCTCTTGACAGGGGCTATAAGAACCATCACTATAAACACAAATGATGTCATTCTTATCACTTCAGATCGTGCGTGCTTCATCTTTTTTAACTTTATCATGATGATTTAAATGATTAGAGAGTTGGTGCAAACGATTTAAAATCGTGTTATAACTAACTTTATCTTTACTTCCACCATGAAGAATAGAAGGCCAGTGAGTATCAATAAAATCGGCTCTATCATCCTCATCATAATCATTCTCAAAATTGTCTTTGTCCAGAGCAGCGCAATTCAACCCACTATTTAAAGCAAACTCCTTTAGAGAGTAGCGAATTGGAACCCCCTTCATCACAAACCATACCTCAGAAGTTCTCTCAATATCCGCTATTCTACCAAGTAAAGGCCACATAAGGATGGGTGTTGGGACATATTGTACGTCTAAGTACTTACCAAATATAGTGGACCTAAACTGATTCAATAGGTCGGGATGATCACCTAACCAACACTTCATTTGTGCTTGAAACTTTCTCAACGAACTTTTTATTGTAATTTTCATGTTTGGGAAGAGTGTAGTGTCAACCATAGGAGATATGGATGGAACCTAAACAAAATAAATCATGAATACATGTTCTAATTATTAATTGTCAAACATGGTCGAACACAGTCAAACACAGTAGAACAAGGTCAAAGTGGTTCAAATTCAACACAGTAAAATAAAATAAATTAAAGCTGGAACACAGTCAAACACGGTAGAACACGGTAGAACAAGGTAGAACAAGGTAAAAAACAGCCAAAAAACATGGTATAATAAGGTCAAACACATTTACATTCACATTAGAATATAGTAAAAAACACAATCAAACTCGTTCAAACACGGTAGAACATGGTCAAACAAATTCAAAGTAAGAACAAAAAACATGTAATTAGGTTGGCTGAATGAGTAATTACCTTAATTTCTTTGTTCAGAGAAAGAAGATTCAACTTATGAGGATCTTCTACAAAAAGCTTATCTGGTTGAATTTCTTTACTTTGCTTTGAGTCCGACCTCTTCAGAAGATTTTTAGCAGGGCTAATTTCTCCTAATTTTACCAACCTACGCTTACGCTCAGGGGCGGATCATAGTGAGGGCAGAGGTGGGCTTCAGCCCAGCCCAATTTTTTTTTTATTTTTATTAATATAGGTATAGCTTTAATTATTAGCCCACCCCAAAATTTATGTCCAGCCCACCCCAGCCCAAGCCTACCAGACCTGCGGCCTTCCTAATGCGAACTGGCCGAACTGCGCGAGATTTGCGAAGAACAAATGTCTAAGAGATGAAGACATGCGGCCAGAAGCCGCACCGCCTTCCACGTGTCAAGGGCCCTGCGCCGCTGCGTCGGCCGTCTTCCGTGTCCAGCTCTGAGCTTTCCTATCAGAATTGAGCAATTGGCGAATTTGATTCTGCGGTGATGCCTCCAGCTCCAGCCTCCAGGTGAGAAGGTATTATTATTTACTCCGTATTAGTTTATTACTCTTTTAGACTTTTAAGTTTTACTCCGTAACTTATTGTGCTGCGACTGTTATTTATTGTGTATTATTTTTTTTAGGTTTGTAAATCTATTTAGTTATTAATTAAATATTTCAGTATATAATAAAATACTGTTTATCATTATAAATTTATAATGATTATATTAAAAGTAAAATTATACATTAGAGAATGGTTTATTTATTATACAATTGAAGATTAGAAAATGATTTCTTTATTGAGTCGACGTGTAAGAAAGAACAATTGAAGATTATGTACAACCGATGATACCTATGATTGCAACCATGACCCAAGATCCATCTTAAGATAAGCACATCAACGGGATAAGTCCATTAATCGGGGTTATGATAAATAATAGCCGCTAGGCCTAATTAGGAACCCGACCCGCGAAAGGAACCCATAGCCAGGCCAGGCTGGATAGCAGACCTCGAGCCTGGACGGAGTTCTAGAGAGGTCGGGCTCTTCCTAGAACTTATGTGTCAGGCTAATATTCGAGCTATCTGGCAGCGTCAGGGAGTTGCATTAAATGTATCAATTTCTTCCTAGAATAATAGAACCTAAGAAGTTGATTTCGTCATTCTTTCCAAAAGTGGATCAACAAAGTGGTGAAGGGAGTTAACCTGTACAATTGAAGATCAAAGAATGATTTATTTATTGTTTGGACATTTAAGAACAATTAAAAATCTCAAGTGAGAATACTTATTAGTTTTATGTACAACGATTGGTTTTACTTATTAGTTTTAAACTTTTATAGAAGTATTTTAATTCATACCAATAAATAATAGAATCTTCAATAACCATTAATAGATTTATAAAATCGCACTAAAAATCTTTTAATTTTAAAATATATATAATTTATTCCTATAATTTATGCGTTGTCGATAGGCTCGAGTCCTATCGAACCAAACATCAATATGCTCGAACTCAGCTTGAATAACTATTCGAACTCAAAATCTAGCCCATGTTTGATTTCGAAACTTGTGAAGCTCGGGACGTTAAATTAAATTCCAAATCACGCTCGAACTCGAGTAGTTTGAGAAAAGCTCGGTTGGATAACAACCCTAAGTTAAACTCTTTGTGTGCTATAACAATTTTTTTACTGCTTAGCCCACCCCACTCCTCGTTCCTGGATCCGCCCCTGCTTACACTTGAGCTTATCTTGGAATGGTAGGGTTCTTGACCTTCATGATGACTGAAGTGGCACAATTACAGCTAAGGTCGAAGGAGGAGCCTCTTCAGAATGGAGAAAGACGTTGAAGGAGGAGTGCACTTAGAAGGAGTACCTTTCGAAGAAGAATACCCCGCAAGGAAGAGAGGATGAAGAGAGCGGTGCGTTCAATATCTTTGGATGAAGAGTTCAAAAGGAGTGTTCAAATTCTAGCTTTTAGCAAAGGTTATTTTGTAATTTCACATGTTTCTATTATTTAAAACAGAAAAGAGGGACATTTTGATGGCCCCGATTCGGCACGACAGCGTATCCAGAAAAGTTCCAGCCTTCTTCCGCAAATCGGAAATCTTTACCAGCTCAGTGAGTTTCGGTCTCCATACATTCAGTTTCCGCACTTTCTTTTGTGGTGATTTGACATCGATATCAAACTTTCAATTCCAGTTAGGTTCTGGCTGGCCTTTGCATCAGAAGACCATCATATCTGGCTTCCGACAAGCTCGGCTCACCCCAACCTGCTAAATGCTTTTCGACAACGGAAGACGATCGTCCAATTCTGGTAAGTCAGTTCTTCAGTGATTGTCTAATTTGACATCTGTTCTGAATATATTATGTTGCTGGAGCCTTTAAGAACCTTGAGTCCGATTACCCAGGGTTGGTAATGAGTACCTATGCCTAATTAGAGCTATTTAATATTTTGATATGTGTTTAGCCTATTTGCAGTAACCCAAGTTGATTGTCAAAATTGTTCACTCAAGGCTACAGGGCTGAAAACTTTTACTTCGCATATTTTAATTTTTTAGTTAGCGAATTGCTTGCCTTTAGTTCTCTCAGAATCAAATTAACAATTACGTCAAACTTGTAAAGATTCAGTGACACCCCTCTGAAAGAAAGGGTGTTCAAAATATTTTGTTGGTCAAGCAAAAATTATTTTTTGGGGACCCAGGAAAGTCATTTTGGGGGGGGCGAAAATATTTTTGGGGGGTTCAAAATACTTTTTGGTCAAGCAAAAATTATTTTTCGTATATATATACACTAAAAAAAATTGTTGGGGGGCGGTAGCCCCCTGGGTCTCTACTACGGTTCGCCCCTGCATCTGCATTTGCTATTTAACTGTTCTATCCTAAGTTCCTGCCACCAAGTAGGAGTTATAGTAAAAAAGGGAATTTTGTGTTTTATCACTGATGTTTATCTAGGCTTAGGAGGAGTTTTGGGAAGTCGGCCCTGGATACCTGGTCAAGTAACACTTCACAGGGGAAATATAATCCGACCTATTACGGCAAGATTCTTGTACACTCATTTATGCATACATGACACAAAGATTTAATATTCACACCATCCCTTCTAACACTTCATAGGGGAATTATAATCCGACCTATCACGACAAGAATCTTGTACACTCATACATAACACAAAGATTTACTATTCCCTCCATCCCTTCTAACTTTGCGAACTTTCCTTTTTATTGTCTCACTAACTTTACCACTTTACCTTTTCCGCACGAACCTTAACCACACCGTTTTCACTTTATTATTGTAGATGCCAGTCAACTTTGTCAAAGTTATAAGGGCAGAGGGATTATGATAATATGACTGTGTATTATACAAGTATAATAGAGATTTAACTAGTTTAACATAACTTACTTCACTCTTTCTATTTGAGATTATTTCATCCAACTTCACTTACACTTGCGAAAAACGAAAAACCTTCTTAGATTGTCTCCTTTCACCCCAAGTAAGTTCTTCATTTACACTTCACACAAGCTATGTTTGGATTCTCTTCTTTTACAAAAATGGTATCTCTCACCTTTCTCGAGAAGGCTCACACCTTCACTTTTTAAGAGTCATCATCAAAATTGCTTATGAATAAGGAGTTTAACCCCTCCCTATTTATACTAATATGTTCATATTTCTCTAAAGGGTGGGAGTAGCACCTATTGAAGACAAGATGCGGGAGTCACGCCTACGGTGGTTTGGTCATGTGCGTAGAAGACCGAGTGATGCACCTGTTAGGCGAGTTGAGATGTGTGGAGAAGAGGCGGGGAAGAGAGGGAGAGGAAGACCCAAACAGACGTGGGTTAGGGGAGTTCGAAGTGATATGCTTCTTCTGGGGTTGGATGAGGGCATGACTTTGGAGAGAACTAAGTGGAGGGCGGGTATTCACGTGAAGGAGTGATCTTGATAATCTTTTTCCCTCATCTTTTTTTTCCTAGTTTTTTTTTATCCTTATATATATATGCATTATTTGCAGCCTTTTTATTGTATCTTTTTTATATATATTCATCTTTTTTATATTATCTTTTCATAATAGCTTATCTTTTTATCTTTATTCCTTCTTTTCCTTTTGGTTGTGATATCATGTATCGATTCATGTTAGCCGACCCCAATATCTTTTGGGACTAAGGCTTGAATGTTGTTGTTGTTGTTCATATTTCTCTAAAACTTTCTATTCCCCCCTCTACGCTTTTTGAATCTTCCAAGGAGTACCTACAAACTTCTTCTATGATCTTCAAGAAGAATCTAGAGGACTGCACATTTATGCAAAGTGTTCTAGAGGCTCTCACACATTTCCACACGGTTCTCCAAAATTTCACAATTTCTTTAAGTAGCTCCATAATGTTCTAAAATATTCCACACTTTCCTAGAATATTCTTCACCTCTCTAAAATGATCTAAGATATTTTATAACATTGAATACTTCTCGACATTCATTTAGAAAATTCTTAAATTCTCTTGAAGTTTTCAAATAACTAGAGATCCGAACACCTTTCGTATGTCTACTTTTAAATAGCATGTGAAATTTTGTTAGAATTAAGTTGAAATGAGCTGTTGCCCATCCCAATTTAATCAAATTATTATTTTCCAAGTAAATTTGAGGTACCTACAAGGCTGCAATACGAAATTGTGTGTAAAAATAGTAAAACAAAATCAGATAAAGTTGAAATATAGTTATATAAATGCATTATTTCCACTCTTTAATTACCACTTGAATCTACAATAACATAAGGCTTTTGAGTTTTTGAAGGTTTGCCGGTCCATTGGCAGTGATGTTGCGTCCCCGGATGTACCGCCACTGCCTACAGCTGCCAGCTGCCACAGTGATTCTAAACTGCATCAGTTCGGCGGCCACTATTTATACTGCTGCTGCTGAACACAAAGATGATCCCTTCAAGGCACACCCGTGTTACCACCACCTTTCTTCCATTAAGTCCAAGGGAGAACTTCTCCAATCATACACAGTCACGCCACCTATCCAACCCTGGCCTCGGAACCTTACCCATAAACGGCTCATTTCTCTTATATCCTGCCAACATGACCCAAACATGGCTCTCCACATCTTCCACCACGCAGGTAAATACCACCCTGGGTTTTCCCATAATTATGAAACCTACCACCGCATCATCCTCAAACTTTGTCGTGCTCGTGCCTTTGAATCCGTGGATACCCTTTTGGCTGAGTTACGGCAAACTAACATCACATGTTCGGAGAATCTGTTTGTCACAGTTATCCGGAACTATGGCATTGCAAGCAAACCAAAGCAGGCCATTAAGTATTTCTTGAAAATCAAAGATTTCGGAATAGTAAGATCAGTGAAGTCTTTTAATACATTGTTGAATGCTTTGGTTAATAACAAAAAGTATGATCTTGTGCACATCTTGTTTAAGAATTGTAGAAAGAAGTTAGACATTGTGCCCAATTTAGTCACTTGTAATATCTTATTGAAGGCTCTGTGTAAGAAAGGTGATGTTGGTGGTGCAATTGGAATTTTGGATGAAATGCCTGCAATGGGAATAGTTCCAAATGTTGTTACTTATACCACCATTCTAGGTGGCTATGTGCTTATAGGCGATATGGTGGGTGCTGAGAGAATGTTGAAGGAAACCCTTGATAAAGGATGTTTGCCTGATGCAACAACGTATACCATTTTGATGGATGGCTTCGTCAAGAAAGGGAAATTGATGAATGCAGTGAAGGTGATGGATGAGATGGAGGACAATGGGGTCAAACCAAACGATGTAAGTTATGGAGTGATGATAGAGGCTTTGTGTGCTGGGAAGAGACCAGGTGAAGCAGTCAACTTGCTTAATGATATGCTTGATAACAAATATCCACCTAGTGGATCACTTTGTTGTAGGGTTATTGATGCTATGTGCGAAGCAGGAAAGGTCCAAGAGGCATGTGATCTGTGGAAAAAATTGTTGATAAAGAACTGCACCCCTGATAATGCAATATCAAGCACACTCATATATCATCTGTGCAAGGAGGGACACATTTGGGAAGCAAAGAAATTATTTGATCAGCTTGAGGGAGGTTCAGCTCCCAGTGTTTTGATGTACAACACATTAATTGCAGGAATGAGTGAGAATGGAGAGATACTTGAAGCTGGGAGGCTGTGGGATGACATGGTTGATAAGGGGTGCATACCTAATGCTTTTACTTATAGCATGCTGATTAGGGGATTTTGTAAAGTCGGTAATCCAACAGAAGGAATTAGAGTTCTACAGGAGATGATAGATAATAATTGTTCCCCAAATAAATTCACTTTCTCTGCAATAGTCCAAGAGCTTTGTTGCTCAGGATCTGAAAGAGATGGTGTTTTGAATAAGATATTGTTGGAGATTGCTGCTTAAGGAATGCTTTATCAGTTTTTTTTAATACAGAAGATAGTGCATTTTTATGATTGTAGAAGCAGAGGCATCCGTTTCAAATGGATCTAAGTGCTTTTGGTGCCAATATATCATATTGCAAGATTTGCTCTCTTCTTGGGCGTTGGTTATTAGCAAATCGTGTCTAGCAGTGTCTAGCAATGCACCTAGTGATTTTAGAGCCCCCAAAGGATGAGAGTAAAGTTATGTGCTATAAATATTTCTAGTCATTTTGAAGTGTGATAAAATTAAGTTTCATAGTTGTGAGTTATGACCATAGCTCTTTCTTTTTGCAAAATGCAAGCCCAAATTACATTCCAATCATGTGTTGTAATGTGTTCGGCTCGTGCATATTGTTTCGGGTTTTGGGTAGAAATTTTCCTACTCCTTTGATCCTTTCCAAATGCTAAACTTGTAAAACATCAACATATAAAAATAGTCAGCAGAACTATAATGCAACTGTAAAGCAAAATAAATGATGAAATGTCTGTGTTGATAAATTCGTGTATAAACATGAAAAAAGCATTCAGCACTCAGCAGACCTATACGGCTATACTATTTAAAAGCGGTAAAAATAATTATAAAATAAAAGTGCACACCAATTTCAACATGTTAATAGAGTGGTAATAGTAGCAATTTCCTGTTGTTGAGATAATGTTTGTATTAAAAAACTCCCTTTGTCTATTGGACTTTGTCAAATTTTCTTTTTTGTTTGTCCCAAAAACATTGTCACTTTTCTTTTAAATTAATTAAGTTGTGTTTCTGCTTACTTCTCTCTTTCTGCGCAACCACAAACCTCAAACACTTGAGTTTTACTTTTCTTATTTCACACACAACTCAAAGTTGGCAATGCCCTTTGAGATGGAGGTAGTATAAGAACAATTGAACAAGTTAGATGATACCTATATATTTCAATATGTGAGTGTGTAAAAATGAAGGTATATATATCCGATTGGAACCAAGTATATGTGTATGACCCATTGACCCTTCCAATGGATTAGTCCTTCAATACAATATGAAATGATGACTGATCATTACATACTGTAATATTTAACAATTAATGTTACAATTGTATAATATTTGAGCGCTGCTGGATGTTACCTAGTCTTCGGGCTTCCTCATGTATAGCCGTCCAATATCTAATCTTCAGTTTGCCTTAGCCGGCTGCTTGATCCAATGGCTTACTAAGATAATTATATCCATGACTTGTAACATTTGTTATTTTCATATGAGAAAATTTTCAAAAAAGGAGTAAAAAAATGTGAAATTTTAAAATAGTACTATGTTTACCCCGTTAAATAAGAGTAATTAATGTCATTTTGAAATTATACTTCCATATTTTGGCATGTCGGGCATAAAAAAATATATATTTAAGGCAAGTTAGTTTTGCATAATTTACTAGTCCTAAAGAACATATAGTCATATGTAGATAAATAATTAAGAGCATACCTTTATTTGTTAAATATGTTCGACCCTTTGTAAGGCTGAAATAATTCCTTCTCTCTTGTTAGGGTTTATTGATACCGCCGCCCTTGCATTTCAGCATGGGATTGGAGTGGATGTTTTTTTTTAGTTTTGTTCTCTCTATTATGGTTTATGGAGAAGCAGGAGTCTAGCGACACCTTGCATCATCGTTGTTGGAATTGGGGTTGCTTTATTGTAGCGGAGGGGGCAGTGATACCAACGTAAAAGTGGTCTTCTCCCTAGCTTTTGTCTAGGGTTTGTCTTTCCGGCAGATGGCTTGCGTCGTTTCTTGTTCCGTGAATGAGTTTTAGCGTAAGTGGGAGGGCGGTCGTTACCATGTTGTGCCTCTCCATGGTCTGGTTCTCTATGGTTGATGTTTCAGGATGTGTTGCTATGAATCGAATATGGAGGTTTGCGATTGATAATTCCGATTGGAAAATCGCTTGACAATTTCTGAATCAAGTTCTGAGCAAGGGAGAAACAAATCAACGGACCGCCCCCCTCCTGAACCGCAGCCTTTGAGCGACCGAGATGATAGGGTTTGGAAGATGATACCTCAAGAATACTGGCAGGAAGGAGCTTAGAGTATTTGTCATTTATTTTATTTTTTATGGTCTTACTCTCGCGTTAAGTTTGTTTGTGTTGCTCTATTTTTTGTTGATGTCTTTAGTTTTAGTTCTGCAATGAAGAGTGACAATTCTGCTAGATATTATGTCGTTAGAAGGATCTATATGACCAGTGATTGTTGTGTCACATCCGTTTGGTGGTTAGCGATTCGTATTGCTCTTTCAGGGGTGATCGTTTCTATGTCTAGCCCCAGGGTTAATAGTGTTAATTGGTCAAGTATTGTTGTTGTTGGTGTTGGTCTCTTTGAGTTTGTTGTAACGATCGAAATACTAATGATATTAATATAAGCGGTTTTTCCTTTCAAAAAAAGAACATATAGTCATATACATATGTATGTGTTTATTTTTTTTCTTAAGCAGTCTGGAAGAAAAAAGTAGGGTGAGAAAAATCAGCAAGATATTGCTTTGGAGCAGACATTGCACATTGATGGATTTTATGAAGTTCACTTCATCCACTCACTATCGCTTTATTGATCATGTTCTTGTAAATCATGTATCAAAAAACAAATATGATGTTAAAATAGACAGTGTTTTCATAGAGCCTTTTCTTGGTGGAAGAAATGGAAGAGTGAAATACATATTTTAGATGATTGACTTATAGCATTCACAGGGCATTGGGGGGAGGTCCTTTGAGGCACTCCTTATGGAAACATTTTTATCTGGTATGAAATTGTCATAAAATTTAAGCTAAAGTAATGTGAGCAAGAGTTGTACTTCAGGAAATATGAATATGGTAATAAGTTAATTGTGATTAATTTACAGGGTTGGCTCAGAGTGAAGGTAAGGAACGATAAATCTGTGATGTTTTTTTTTACTTATAGCCTGCTTTGTGAACTCAAGTTCTCTTTAACATTCATTGAGGAGGACATATGGAACCACCGTATTTGATATCCTCGATTTTGAGAATTCTGCTTCCCTTGACAGAATTTGTATATGCTTTGGCCTATGTTCCTACATGTTCTGCATTCAGGTCACTCCGTTATTAGCTTTATCTGCATTTGGTTGATAGTTGATACTAATGCTCATTAAGTTCGTGTTAGAATCCTATTCATTGACTTCTCTCCTTGAAGAATTGTGGGCTGAGAGGTACAAACAGGAAGAGTTATTGGTGTTGCTATGTTGAGAACTTGAGATTGGAAGCAGTGATGCAAAAGTCACTAGCCCTCAGATGGTCGAGTGGCACCTAGCCTGCTTAGATGCAGTCGGTCTGAATGTAGTTGGTAGTTTGGTACCGGTGCAATTGTTACTACAGGTTGTTGAAAATGGTTCTGCTGTATTGGGATCAATAAAGCTGCTTTACACCCCTCGTGTAACGTCTAATATTACCTTGTCTAAAGTGTCACCCAAATGATAGTACTATATTTAACTTGTTTGATTTTAATGTTTTAGCTTACCTCAGATATGTAACATTACTTTTTTTGGAGATCATGTAGAGCGTAATTTGGTCATATTCTATTTCTTCTGTAATATTGGATAATCTTGAAATGTTCCCATTTTACCCCCAGACTTCCATTCTGTGTGTTTATTTGTTTATAAATACACCGGTACCAGTTATTTACAATTAAGTTTTATTCGCATACATTTATTTATGCTCTTTTTGATATAAAACAGTAAAAACCCACATTTCCAACCACATTTATGTTACATTATTTCACGAGTTCAACCAAATACAAATATGAACATATACTCAAAGACAATTTAAGTCTTCCAGCAGTGCTACATGACACAATCTCATGACCTTACAACTCTCCAACAGTTTATGTGGAGTGAAAACGTGAAAGCTTATTATGTCTTAGGAGTATGTAGAACTCTTGTTAGTGCAGTATATATTTTTATGATCCAATAGTCTTATTGTGCCTATCATAGGTTAGCCTTTTATATTTGTTTGTATACGAATTTCTTTTTCATCCAGAAACAATCTCTCTATGTTTTAGTATAGGGGTAAGGCTGTGTACACCCGAACCCCCATACCCCACTGTAGGTGGGATCCTTGGCTCTTTGCAGCACTAAGGTAATGTTGTTGTTTGTTGTGTACAAATTTCTTTTGGATAAAACTATGTATTTGTTGTTGGGCATGTGGTATCATTTGTCTCGCAAGCCATTAAGATGGTGTTTGTTGGCACCACCCAGGCACGTGTTGCCTGCACTTCCTATTTGAAATTTGTCGAGGCTCTCTGTGTCTGATTCTTATATGAGAGGATTTATACCCTCAGAAGGGAAGAAGGTAAACTACCAAAAAGCAGTTCCATGTACAGAGAGGATCAGACCCCGCCCAGAATAGGAACTGATAGTATGCTAACAATTATTTATTATAACCACTTAACTGTTAAGTAATACCGTCAATGGCATACACTGGGTTATCCATATACCATACTTCCATTTCCAATTTTACTTATGTTGTCCAGGATGGGTTTGTCCTAGTAACATTTACTTTCCTGCTTTCTCATATTTACAAACTATTTGGTTTCAGATTCTTCCAGAGGTTGGATATGTTTAACTCAGTCATTCATGCAGGTACAAAAAATATGGATCTCTCTAAAGCTTTTCTATTGGTAAAGAGAATGACAAATTTCTGTTTTCAATGCAGAATTGCAGAGTGATTAGTGTATGCGCTTGTTCTTTAAGCAAAAAACTAGAGCAAACAACAAAGTTCATGAGGACTTGTCACAAAATATAGCAAATTTACCTTCCAAATTAGTAGATTTCACCTTTTAGTTTCATGGTATGGTTGCTCATTTGATTATATGTTAAAAGAAAAAAAACAAGGCAATATATGTTAAAGGAGAAGAGTTGCATTGAGCTTAATCACAACTACTATCTCGGTCACTGGAGTGAAGTTCATAGTCAATTAGTCAAAAAGGAATTTTTTTGACAAAAAACAAAGATCACGAGGATTTGGAAGCTAGAGCTATGGTTGTTCAACATATTGATTGCATGTCTTTTTAAACGTCACACAGTCACACTATCAGTCCTCAAAAAATTGGTCAAGGTACAACTTTTGAACTTTGGCAAAGTACAACTTTTAAAAATTATGGAATCTTCAATTTATGTTTTCTAGGTCTAACTACATCTATCATCTTGAATAGGGATGGACCCGGGCCGGTCTGGTTCCGGTTCCGAGCCAGGCCCGGGCGGGCTTTTTTCCCAGGTACTTGGGCCCGGAACTGGCCCGGGTTGATACCGGGTCCGGGCCTAACCGGCCCGGTTCAATGTTTATTTTTTTTGGCTTTCTTGTTATCCCCCGACCCCCCCCCCCCTCACCCCACCCCCCAAACCTCCCCAAAACACCCAGACCTACCCTAGGAAAAGAAAAAAAATTGAAAAAACAAAAAAAGCCCGGGCCGGTTCAACAAAAATGGGGCCCGAGCCCGGCCCTCCAAAACGGGCTAAAAGCCTGGAACCGGCCAACCGGGCCCGGGCCGGTCCGGGCCCGTACAGTAGCGGGCCGGTCCGGTCCCTGGCCGGTTCGGCCCGACCCAGTCCATCCCTAATCTTGAACATGCTTGTAACTTTATGTTTGGCAAATTACATGAAAAATTTAGGTGTGGTTATTGACACAAGAGTATTTAAGATCAAACTAGGGAAATTTGATTGGGGTAAAATATTACCTAAAATTTCAAATTGGAGTATGATACTTTTATTCTCTAAACAAGACTATTGTTCTAAATTTACCCTTCCTAATATAATTAATAGTCTCCTAGGCAGTCTGATGGTGGCAGCGGGAGTAATCCAGAGGCGGCAATGGCAATTCAGGGGTGACGTTCACAGGCAATCCTAAGGCAATGAATGGTAGCGGGGTTTTGACGGCCAGTAGAGTTTCGATGGTGGGGTCGGCATCCCACGGGGAATAGTGGTTGGGTTAAGATGGCCGGCGGTGGTTGGGTTAAGATAGGGATGGACTTGGTTCGGGCCGGGCCGGGCCCGGTTCGGGCCTTGAACCGGCCGGGCCTCGGTTCAAGGTATGGGAGGCTCGGAACTGGCCCGGGTAACCCCCGAGTCCGGGCCGGGCCGGGCCTCGATTCTATTTTTTTTTTTTGCCTTTTCCTAGTTAACCCCCAACCCTCCCCCTCACCCCCAAATCAACCCTAACCACCTCAAATGGCCCAAAATACCCACTCCAACCTAAACACTTAAACAAAATTCAAAAAAAAAAATTAGCCTGGCCCGGGCCCGAACCGGCCGGGCCGGTTCACCTTTTGAAGGGCCCGAGCCCGAACCGAGAACCCACCGAGACGGGTGGCCCGAAGCAGCCAACCAACCGGTTCACCGGGCCGGTCCGGGCCCACACAGTAGCGGGCCGGTCCGGTTCCGGGCCGGTTGGCCCGGCCCGAGTCCACCCCTAGGTTAAGACGATCGGCGGTGGTCCATCGGGTCTGGTGACCAAGCCCCAATACCTTAAAGGTTTTTTTTGTCAATTCATAAAAAATAACTCCTATTTTACCAATTTTAAACACGAACTCCTATATTTGTAATTTAACTTTTATTTATCCTATTCAGGAAAATATTCCATAGAACTATAGAAACATGACTAATTTTAGGACAAACGGAGTGTGCATTAAAGGAGAAGAGTAACATTTGAGTTCATCTTAATCACATGTATGTAGGGGTCCATGGCATAAAACTTAGGATGTTTTTAGTTGGATTGAAATTTTTAGTAAAGCTTCTGAGGATTTCCAAGTAAATAGCTTAGTTTCACCATCCAACTCCATATGATTTCAGCTTTTATCTACACATCATGATTGTTCACCAAAAAGTTGGATTCAGCTTTCATCATCATCATCAACACCACCACCACCACCTTAATCATAATTATAATGTGAAGTAGTTGTCAAAAACTACTCATCAAAATTCAAAATTCATGCAAAGAAGACGGCAAAATTTCCCCACCTCAAACCATTCTTGTTGCCACCTTCTTAAGAAGGTATAATTTTATGAAAATATGACATTCAAAACCTTGTCATCAAATGTTTTTACCACTTGGATATAATAATAATAATAATAATAATAATAATAATACAGTATTCTATAAGGTAAAGCCTAACATGGAATCGACATCCATCTTAGATGTAAAATATATCTTGTAAAGGCAATTTTTAATGTCAATGGCTCTTCAGGAAGAGCTCTGATCTATGGTATCTGTTATCCCGATTAGTCTTCAATTGTATGGAATACTTTTTCCTTGAAACCGCTTGCCAAATCATATCCACAGCGTCATTAGGTTGGGATGGGTACTGGTATTCAAAATGTATGGTAATCTCTTTTAGTCTTTCCCACATTTTGGTCCACTTGTCTTCCCGTATTCCTCTAAGAACACCCAAAAGGTAGCCTTCCCTCAAAGCATCTGAAGCTCGGACAAAGACACAAAATTTAGAATAATCAAGCACGTCTTCATATGGCAGCTCAATGTCATCACTTATGATCACTGGGACACAGTGACTAACAATGGAATCAAAGAGTCGATTTGAGGAAGGAGTGTCTCCAGCTATGTTCAGACAGAACTTCGATGAAGCCATTCCCTGGCTAGCTGATCTGATACCATTTGATTGAGTGCTACCAAATGTGAAGTGGACATCTTTTTCATCTTTAAGCAGGTAATATAAATCTTGGCGAATAGCTCCACCCTGTCAAAAAGAAAAAACACTCATACAACCCCATATGGGAGAACAAAAGAGAGAATGATAAGCTCATAGACATTGAGTCGAACTAGCTAAGAGATTCGTGTGGTTTGGCTCAAGTCGTTTATGACTCAGTTAAGTAACCCCAATCCAATCTTGAATTCTACCATGGCATGACAATTAAAGCAGGTTTTGTTTAACTTCATTCCGAGTTTTAGTTTCAAGAGAGAGGGGAGTTTAGTTTGCAACTTGCAAGTCACCAAAAAAGTTGATTCAAAATGACCCAGTTTTCTAGAGGGAGACTATTAGAATCTCTCCTTGAAAAATGAAAGAAAAAATAATGGGTTTAATAAGACTTGAAACTGAAGTAGCTGATAGATTGGATTCTTTAATTTAGTTTGGTTTTGCTTTACAATATAGATACTAACAACAACTATGTGTTTAAGTGAATATAAAAAAATTAAGAGCTTATCAACTTACATCTTTTCTATATATTTCGCCTTGAAAGTAGACCAATATAGGGCGTTGTTTAAATGGGTGTGAAATCCCAGCATCTATTGCCTTCACCATATGTCTATACGGAGCAATCACATCCTTTCCTATATTTGCTATTTCAGCCGGATATCTTCCGAAATCTGCAAGTACTAACATGGCAGAACCCAGCTTCTTCCTAGCAACCAACATACTATTAGGATGGTGAGCCACCACAAGATGATCCCTCCCACCAAACCGCTTCCACTCGTCTCTACTTTTCAAAAACTCAACCACTCTATGTTGCAGCAGTCGGTCCTTGCTGATCTCACCATCGTTCTGAACCTTTGAATGGCGGTTGTAACTCAGGGAAGCGAAAAACGGTACAAATATAATGTCTGCTTCGCTTGAGTTTCGAACTCTCACAACCGTGCATGGCCTACTAAAAACAGTTGGGGTATAATAGGTATTTGACGATAAAAGGTCGAGGGTGAGCCAATACTCTATGCTGTGCTGTAAGTTCAACCCACCTGGATATCGTGGAATTTTGCTCGGCTCATCCACATCAGGCCATATTTTATCGTTCCTACTTCCTTTCCATCCTAAAAGCCCAAAGTGGAATTCAGGCGGCAAGTCATACATATAAACTCTAAGAATAGTTTGATTCCCTTCACACACTCTGTTAGGTTTTTTACTGGAATTAGGAAGCAAAGGCATCTCGGTTTCAGCACGGGTAGTGCTTGAATTCCAATTATCTGAAGTGATGTTGTTAATGAGAATTAACTGGAGAACTGATTTGGGTATGAAATAATTGGTATCAAAGTGGAGGAGGGAAAAAGAAGAGATGGTCAATAGAAACAAAGAAATGGCTATGAGGAATGAAAGAAGCCTTACTGGATTCATACTCTTTTCTGCCATTGGAAACATATCTAGATGGCTATATGGAATTTTTGTAAGGAAAGAGGGAAGAACAAAAAAACCCCAACTCCACTACAGAAACTAGCAATTATGGATTGATTCCTAACATAAAATTTTGTCAAACATCAACACCTATAAAATGAACAAAGACAAAATAAGGAAGCTTGAATTCCACATCATGACAGAAGAAGATGGTAAAAAACATCCCTTTCCTATTACAGGTTTGACAAACTTGAGGTACTTGTTTGAGGAATTAGAATCAGGGACGCATCAGCTATCTCCAAAACACCTCAACATTCAGTTCTGCACACAACAAATAACCCCAGGAATTTTTAAGGGTTTTGATAAACTATACTACTGGGGAGGTTGCTAGTTCTAATAGAGCTTCACCTATCACCCTTTTTAAACAGACTTCTGCACCTTAAAGACCGAAGAATTCTCCTGCGAAATCAGATATATAAAAATTAAAGAACAGAAGCGGAAGAAATTAAAAATCAAAATCTGGGATTCCAAGATTTTTTTGTATTCACGAAAGGGCTCACTGATGTTTTCTTTACCTTCGTTTTCCTTTACAGAATCTGGTCATATTCTTGCTCAAAAGAAAGTTAAGAGACAAAAATACCTGATCTGATGGTTTTGGTGCACTCACATGCCGCCTGACGCTTTCCCGATGAGAAAACTCCAATTTCCGGCACGTCGGCTAATGCAGAGAAACGGCGGCAGGTCTGGAACTCAGAGAGAGTCAGAGGTGAAGTGAAACTATTGTTCTTTTTGACTGGCAATTGTGAGTTGCAGTACTGTTACTATGATTATTCTGTTAAGCAGTGTGGAGTGGTTTTTTCAACTCATTTTCCAGCCGTTTCGTCCCGAGTTTTTATGTTTCTGTCGGTAAAACTGATTAATTGAAAAGAAGTAAATTGGAGTTATAAGTAGTCGAGTTCTCATTATAGAGTTTTTTTTCGAATTAATGCTAATTAATTAATTAATTACGAAAATAATGTTGGGTTAAAGGTATTTACGAATCTACTGCTGGGTTTAACCGGGGTCAGAGAAAGTCGCCCAACGGTTGGACGACTTATAAGTCGCCAAACGGTTTGGCGACTTATAAGTCGTCCAACCGTTGGACGACTTTCTCCTTCCATATAAACGTAGCCCTCAGCTACTGCTAGCCACGCACGATCGTGCCCGGACTCATCTTTTTGCTATAAATAAGGTCTCTCTTCTCCTGTTTAAGTGTTACGAGCGAGATGCAACACATTATAAAACATACAACACACATGTTCACAAACACATACATAAACACATACAACTCACCGGTAAAACACAGTACAATCATCAAACATTCATAACAATTAATCATCTAATATTCATACTCGAACGCATAACATGTCCTCCATCTGAACTATGGCCCACATATTTGTTATAGCTAGCTCATCAGTGAGGGGCATAAGCATGTACTTTCCCCCGTTCATGGGAAATTTCATTTTCAAACGCAAAGAACGGCTATGATGAATCATTGTGGCTGTATGTATTTTTTGAAGGATCTCGAGCATGCCAGCACCACGACAAACCATGACAAATGTGGTTGTATCACCTTCATGGCATATTTGACCAACATCCTCATAATAGTTCTCTCCTCAATGACACACAATTGGGAAGCTTGAGAAATCCATATTCTAATAACAATTCAAATATATCCAAAAGTCAAGATTCACAAACAACTCACATTTGAATATGAAAATACCCAAATTTTGATATCTACATTCAAGTCTACATTTCAATACCCAAATTTAGCTACATTAAAATCCACCCAAATGCCCAAATGTCAAAATATATACATGTCAAAATCAATTTCAAATCAAATTTGAACATTTCATAATCTAAAAATTCCAAAAATTCAACATTCAAAACCCTAAGTTAAAAATGAGATGAAATGGACTTTGATTTACCTAAGAAGAAAGAGTGTTGAAGATGGAGGTTTGCCGGAGTGGGGTCGCCGGATATGGAAGTTCGCCGGAGATGGAAATGGCTCGGTCGTCCTTCGTCCTTCGTCTTTCGTAGCTGCTGCTTGGGGGATTTGGTGGTTGGGTATCATTGCAGTGTTCTGGTTTGTGGCTGGCCGCTGTTTTTACCTAATGGAAAGTCGCCCAACGGTTGGGCGACTTATAAGTCGCCCAACGGTTGGGCGACTTTCCCTGATCACGGTTAAACCCAGCAGTAGATCCGTAAATACTTTTAACCCAACATTATTTTCGTAATTAATTAATTAATTAGCATTAATTAGAAAAAAAACTCCTCATTATATGGAGAGAGAGACAATATTTTTCTCTCTCCAATTGGAGTTAGGGCGTGTTTACTAATATTTTTTTTCTCCAATTTTCTGTTTTTATTTTTCAGTTTTTCTATCTCCAGTTTTCTGTCTCTATTTTCAAGTTTTCAAATCTGAAAACATGTTTATCAATTTTTTCACTCAGTTCTGTGATCATCCAGAAGACGGACACGTTTACTTCACGGGTTACTAAATGGTGCTTATTAAGACTCGCGTTAATAAGCGATGCATAAAATAAGCAATGTTATAAGATCATGTTTACTTCAAAAGGTTTAAAACACCGTTTAACATTAAAATGTCCAAAATAACCGTATACATATATAAACACACACACATGTATGAACACAAATATATAATATAATATGCGGGGTCGATGACCTCGTACGTGTACCCATACTCCTAACCCCTACCCTGCCCCTATACCTCGTACCCCCACCTTACACCCTACACTCAATTCCACATCATTGACCTCTAACCCTACCTTTACCACGATCTTACACTTTACTCATACTCCCCTAAAACCCTTCATACCCACCCATACTTACTCGTATGGGTCAGAGTAGGGAAAGAAGGTATGGATGGGGGTGGGTGGGGTGGGGTGGTAAGATCTAGGAATACGAGGTTGGGTGGGTAGTGGGTGGGTTAGGGTGGTGGTTAGGGGTAAGGGTGGGGGTAGTGAGTAGGGTTGGGGTAAGGGTAGGGGTAGGGTAGGGAGTTGGGATATGATTGCGATAGGGTGGGGCCGGGATCAGGGTGGGGCCGAGGTAGGGGAAGGGGTAGGGTGGGGGGTAAGATGGTGGTGGGGTGGTATGGCTGTAGGGTGGGGTAGGATGGTGGTACGAGGGTGGGGGTAAGATGGCGGTAGGGTGGGGCTGAGGTAGGGGGCATGTGGGAAGGGGTAAGGTAGGGGTGAGGGGTAATATACGAGGTGGGGGTAGGGTAGGGTGGGCCAGGGTGGGGTTGAGGTGGTATGGGGTGGCAGTAGGGTAGGGTGGATCGAGGTGGGACCGAGGTAGGGGCATGTGGTAGGGGGTGAGGGTAGGGTCATTGTAGGGAAAAGGGGTATGCGGGGTGGGGGTTGGGTGGGTAGGGTAGGGGTAAGGTATGAGGATGGAGGTACTAGAATGGAATCGACATCGGAGCGGGACCGGACCCACCACTAGGTGTAAGTATGCAAGTTCATTGCAGCGGCCTGTAGCATATGCGTTTTCCAAATTTGGAAAACTAGTAAAAGTCACTTCTCCAAATTATTAAGGAAAAGAGAGACATGTCTCATTTTTTTCGTTTTGGAAAACGGTTTGGAAAACTACCCGGTTTTTGCTTTATTTGTGGTATTATTGGGCACTCTGATAAATTCTGCCCTTTGAAGTACGAAGAGGATTTTGTTGTTGAAAAAATATATAAGGTAGAACTTAGAGCTGGAGGAAGAGTGAAGACTGCTTTCGAGGTAGAAAATACGATTGAGTCCAAGACTAGCAAACCATCTGTACATGAAAGTGAAGACAGAAAAGGGACTCCCGGAGATCCTAAGCCTAGAAGGTTATGGGATGGCCAGACTGAAGAGGGTGCAGAGGGCGAAGGCATGGCTCTGGATGGGCAAAAAAATGGGAAGGAGGCGGGTCAGGTCTCCTAGACTCGCCTTATCTCTATTGGGCGGTGGTGGGAAGGAGAAACTCCAATGGTGTTTTTGTTTTTGTTTTATTTGGTTATTTTAATTTTAGTTGCATTAATTTGTTCTGCTTCTGTTTTTTCATTCCTTGTAAGACTCTTGCATTAAGGTTGGGGGAAGGAAAGTCTGGGGTAACCGTCATTGGCTTTAAGTTGCCCAATTTTGGTCTAGCGAGTTATACTGCTTTTTTACAGGTGGTTAACTCTCAGTCTCGGCCACGGGCGGATGGTTATTTGTGTTTCTTTTCTAGTTTTATCCCCTTGTTGAATGCTATTTTTATGAAGTAAGCCTTCTTCGAGCAAAAAACAAAAGTAGTCGAGTTCTCGTCTAGATAGATATTTAGAAACATCATTTTTACATAATAATATCTCATAATTATCGAAACACTATACTTTAGCTTCTTGTTAGGTGTACCTAATGGAGCGCCCATCCGATCACCTCAATTTGAGATGTTTTTGGATGAAATTTTAGGGAAAAGGGGCAAATAAGCACACGCATGGGCGGAGCTAGGGGTGGGCCAACCTAGGCCATGGCCCACCTCAAATTTTAAAAATGGCTTAATTTTTAAGTTAAAAAATTTCGTGTAATTTGTTTTCTAAAAATATTCTTTGTATCGGCCCAGCCCGGCCCACTGTCCTGGCTCCGCCTCTGAGCACACGTACTAACAAAAAAAAGTCAAATAAGCCCTTATATAGGAGGTTCTGTCCGGCCGTCTCCATTTGGGGCAGTTCCCGGTGGAATTTTTTGATGAAATTGTTTGAGAATCTTATTCATTAATTCTAGTTTACTCATACCAAATTTCAGCTAACAATTCAATTGAGATGGCATTCAAATAAATTCTTGAAGATAACTGCGCTTTTATCTTCAAGAATTCATTTGAATGCTTTCCCGATTGAAGTTTTAGCTGAAATTTGGTATGAGTAAATTAGACTTAATGAATAATACTCTCAAAAAATTGCATCAAAAATTTCCACCGGGAACCGCCCCAAATGACGACGGACGGAGATAGCCTCCTATTTAAGGGCTTATTTGACCTTTTTTGGTTAGTACGTGGGCTTATTTGCCCCTTTTCTCTGGAATTTTATGATGAAATTTGTGAGGATATTTTTCATGAAGTATGATGGATAGTGTACTCGGGGGGTAGTTTATCCGAGGGATATTATAGCAAATATCAAGAGAGAGGTCAGAGCAAGTAAGAGAGAGAGTGAATATGTATTAAATGAAGTCGTTGTGTCATCCTTTACAGTGGAGGAATTGGCTGCTATTTATAACAGCCATAAATGCTAGGTGCGATAATGAGGTTACAAGTGTCAAGAAACTAGGGGAGAGCAAACCCGACCCGACCCGATTGACCCGATCAGATATATCTGATTTTTTTGTTGGGGTCGAAAAACCCGACCCGAAATACTCAAACCCGATCCGATTTTTTGCAACCCGAGACTTAAGCGGGTAGCGGGTAGGGTTACCAATTATGCTACCCGACCCCGCCCGAAAAACCGAACTAACATAGTATATATACTACTTTAAATTATTATGCATGTTCAAATATCTCAATTATTATATGTCAATTACCATATTGTGCATGTTCAAATATTTCAATTACCGTATTAGTACAACTATAACTTTGAATGTTGTATTGTTATGACTTTGAATGATATTTTGACCAATTATCATTTTATTTATCACAATATCAATTATGTCAATCACCGTATATTATTATTTTACATGTTCAAATATGCCGATTACTGTATTTATACAATTATTACTTTGAATGATATACTAGTATAACTTTGAATGATATTTTTACAAATTACCATTTTATTTATCACAATTTCAACAATAATAAATTAAAATCCGAATGGACCCGAAACCCGA